TCGTGATAAAGTTTTTTTTTTTTTTTTTTTTTTTTTTTTTTTTTTTTTTTTTTTTTTTTTTTTCAAGAAGATCTTTTCACAGATCTCGCAACTCCTCCGGGCTCACCGTTAAGATCTTTTTTTTTTTTTTCTTTTTTTAACTGTTTTTTCGATTTTGCGCATAGTTTTTGGACTACGAACTGTTTTTTTTTTTTTTAACAATTCAAACTATGGGATTTGTTTTTTGGCGAAAATATTTTTTTACAGTACACGTGAATACTTCTATTGGACTTGAACTTGATTTTTTTTTTACTTCAATCATTAGCAGGTCTTTTACAAAAGTGCCATCTCGAATTCTCTTTACTCGTTGCACGAATGGTTAAGACGGGTATTTCGTTTAAAACATTCATTAGACATAAAAAAAACTTTATTCAATGTATGGTTAACATATAATCAAACTGTAAGACACATCGCTTTCGATAAAAAAAAAAAAAAGTTTTAAACAATTACCCATTTGTGTACATAAAGTTATTTTAAAAAACAATACTTACATATTTACATACGACATTACAATAAAAACATTACGTGTAAAGATTGCATAGCAATATTGTGTTGTCTTCGCTGAAATAAAAAAAAAGAAAGAAAAAATTTCATCAATTCAAATAAACGGTTAATCAAACGAATATAAATAAATAAATAAATAAATACATGTATTAAAGTAAAATAAATAACTCTTGAAATCAATATTGATTTAATTAAAATAAATAATTGATTTGCAACGTAATATTTGATGGATTTGTGTAAAATATGCTCGTTGAACGATTAAATGCTAAAATATTAATCAAGTACTTGCCAAAGTAGTATTTAGATCGAGCGAATCGCTCGATAAAACACGAAAAAAAAAAAGAAAAGAGTGCGAAGTAAAAGGCAAAAATCTTTTGTTATTCGAGGAGTGGTACGGCAACCCAGGCCGGCAATGGTTACCGGTCGTCGAACCCGAGGTACGCGGGATCGAGCGCTTCCTACCCGCCCAGCCGATCGACCTCATCCGACAAGGGAAATTCCACAAGGTTCCCTTCATCACCGGCGTGACCAGGGACGAGTTCGAGTACAAAGTCATCGGTGAGCTCCAAACAAGGGCACACTCGAACGGACAACGGGCCAAGGTATGATAAGATTGAAAAGTAACACGCTATTGTTTTCAGGGATGATCGAGCAGGCCAAGAGCGGGAACGACTCCATGTTCCGGGATCTGAACGACAGGTGGGAAAAATTGGCACCCATAAATTTCTACTACGAGCGCGGGGGCGATCGGTCCAAGGAGATAAGCCGCAAGCTCAGAGAGTTCTACTTGCAAGGGAAGCCCGTCGGTGCCGACAGTTCTGAGGGACTTGCCCACGTAAGATACAAACGTTTATTTTTTATTTATTTTTTTATTTTTTTTTTTTCGATTGACAAAATAAGGGAAGAAAAATTAAAACAAGGATAATTCCTATGCACTTTGGCGAGCAGCTCTTTGCCGACAGTGGTGTTGGATATCCAGTGCACAAGCTGGTCCACACGGTGGCCAACGCCTCGGACCAACCGGTCTATTATTACGAGTTCACGTACCAGGGCCCCTACAGTCACGTCGTTTGGAACAGCACCAACAAGCCCTACGGTAATAGTCTATCAAATTCCTTTTTTTCCTCCCACCCCCCCCCCCTTCTCCGAGCATCTATTGATCCGCAACGAAATGCGATGATCATTTTTTTTCGTCCGATATCGCATTTTTTGTTTCTAGTTTTGTATCATATGTGCATACAATAGTTGTATTTTTATCGCGAGCACCTTTTCAAAGTTTTTGATGAAAATTTTAAAAAGTATCGACAAAGGTTATTGCTGTAAAAAAAGA